ATTTTGAGGATTTAAAAAGGCTGGCGCAATTTTTGAAGAGGATAATTTATAATTTAGTATATTGCTAGTCAACTGGAAGAGTATCACTGTCTCAAAACTGTGGAATCAGTCACGAAGAAAAATAATTGCAGTGCTGATATAACTAAATAAGGGTTAGACGCGACAGTACTTGTTATTTATATATAATACGCTATCACTGATTGTGCTGACTTGTGGCTGTTACCGTGTATCAATCCAGTTAGCTTCCAAGATTTAACTTTCCTTCAATTTTTTTGAGTGTGCTGTGCTTTCAAGACAAAGTTCTGCCTTGTTGAAGAACCCTATGGAAAAAATCCCGAAAAAAAACTTACTGCTCTACAAAGTTGAGGTATTATTGGCTTAATTAAACACACAGATGGCCTTTATTCTTTTATTTCGTTTTCTGAATAGATTAGGAGCGTTCGCGTTTGGCTTTGTTACGTGCAATTTTGCGTTTCAAGATATTTTTTTTTGCGCATACATGCGTCATCTTTGTGACTTTCGCGGTATGTTGGGGGCTACAGCGTCACGTAATGTGGTAATCCATAGATGGACTATTTGAAGTGACGTATAGTTATTGATGCGAATGTAGACAGCGAACCGACGACTCTGATATAGGCGGTGCGAGGCGAGACTTATTGGTGTAGAGAAGCAGAGGAGATTGCGAAGCGGTACCGCCCTAGGAGGCGCGGAACAAACACTAGCGCGCGTGTTTTCAAGACTTGCGCACTCCCAGGCAAGGCCGGATTTGGGAAAACAGGAAAGCTTATGCTTCGATGAGTGTATGAGGGGTTATGGATCTGGGTGGAGGTAGTGAAGTTGGGAGTAAGGTAACTAAGGTTTCATGATACCCCAATTAAAGTATTATGAACTAGGACAGAATGGGCATTCATGAAAGGTTGCAAAGGGCTTTTACTTTATTCTATCTGTGGTACAAATAATTTCAAGAGAATGTACCATTTCCACACTTGTCTCTCAATTAGAAAAATGACTACAGCTAAATGATTTGAAATAAATTTTATACAATGCATGCATTTTAGTCCAATTGTTAAAGGATATCATCATCCTACAGTCATGTCAATATACGTTATCTTGCCTCAGTTGCGCTTGAGTTTCTCCGTTTTTGTCACTCAATGCCTTATAATACTTTTAATTTTTTTCACGATTTGAGCTCTGTTTTCTGAGGGAAAGAGAAAAGTCCTTATGGTCATTCTGAGTAAGGAGTTTACTGCATCGTTATGATCTTGCGATTATGTGAAACTCCTATTTCTGTTGTAGAAAAGATTATTTCAAAAGAGATTGTCAAAAAAGCTGATTATCGCTGTCAATATAGTGTGAATTGAAATCATTGGTCAGCCTAGTTTTTTGAGGGATGTTGAGTGCTAAGGACGAATTTGAAGAATTTTGGGTGTTTTAGATCACATTGCTAAAACTACTACATACACCAACACGTCTATGCTTACATAGTGTGAACATTATCATGTTAATTATTGATTCATACTGATATCTCTATTTTCGGCTCAATCTCGAAGCTGTACTTTTTCTAAAGTTAAATTGCTTTTCAGAAAGTTAAGCTTTCACATTTTTTTACAGTGCTTTGTGCAAAACTGTAGACTCATCTGTCTGTTTTAGTTCCCTGGGGCCCCTGGAATGGGTATGCCGGGTCCTGAAGGAATGATGCCAGGTATGGTCTTTTCAGCAAATATATCATGCGTTTAGCTGCTTCAATACAGTCAGTAGCGTCATCTTTTTCAGGTCACCCAGGAGCGCCCGGCTTTCCAGGCCGATTTCCAGGTCGAGCAGGTTGTCCACCTGGAGCGATGCCGCCAGCCGGTTTCGGAATGTTTCCCGGTGATCCACGAGCAATGCCAGGACAACGAATGCCACCGAACGCGGCAATGCGTATGCCTCCTGCTTCATTTGCGCCAGCTGGAATGCGACCTGGTGCACCTGGAGCACCACCAGCGCCTCAGGGTACATTTCTAAGAATTTCTTCTTGTTTTCAAAATCACGATCGTCACATAGGTATGAGATATGGTGCGCCGCCTGGTGGTGCATTCATGGACTCACCCGGTCAAGCTTTTCCTCCTGGCGCAGGTATGATGCCAAATGGGGGCGGTGTGATGTGTTCACAGGCACCGGTTGGTATGTCCATGTCCTCACCGGTAATGCCGCCTGCAGGAGCGGCTGATCCGCATGGCTTCATGATGAGCGGCATGCCATCCAGCTCAACCGCAATGCCAGTGAGTATCGACGTTTATGAGTAGACCAATTTGTAGACAATCCTCAATCAATCCTGATTCTTTCTCAATTCTAATTTAGTTTGGCATGGGAGATACATCAGTAACCATGGGTAATGGGATGGGACCCACACCTATGGGAGCATCGAATCCACCTGGACCTGAAGGGGGCCCTCTCACTGGATTACTGAATGGAGAAGAACTGAAACAGTCACCAGCTTCAACCCCGCGAGGTGGTGTTAACGGAGGAACTCCCGCTCCACCGGGATCAGCACACAGCATGCATCCCGCATCAGTACCCGGCGTACACGGCGGGACAGATCTCATGGATCAGCAGAGTAGTAAAGTGAGTTATCTTTGAGCCTTTGATCTTCTCTCCTATATGTTCAAA